TTTCTAAATATAAAAAATAAATTATACAACAGCAATACTGAATTCGGGATGATAATAGGTTTACATGGTATCATGTAGATAGGAAAGTTTAATGTATATTTCAATGACAAACAGGTAGGTGCCAAAACGTACAAACTGTATGTACTTTAAAAACTCCTATGGCTAGAGGAATAAAATATTAAATTAATTTAAGTTACATTTCATTAATTTATTATTTTATACATTGTAATAACACTGGAAGAGATCGCTCGAAAGCTTTAAGGCCGCCAATTGCCCTCCTTTTCTTTTATATATATCAATTGTATTATGTTTCCGAAACGAAGTGTTAATAAAGAGAGCGCGGTGGATAATCACCCTCTGGCCATCCACCACCTGGACGCTCAGCACCCGGTGGTGGACATACAGGCTTCCCTTCGTATTCTTCTCTAATGACTACACATTAATATCCGAACCAGTTCGACAAAGAGGTAAGAGCATTTTCGGAGAACTTCTGGATATCCTTTACGCCTTTTGTAATCCGCTTCTGATGCTGTTTTGATTGGTCCATTGAGATTCTTTATTAGTTGATTATACCTATCAATATTTGTCTTGGCATTCATCACCATAGACAGAAACCAAAAGATAGAATACTATATTTCCAATTTCTTAAACATTCCGGCGGCGGCGGAGTCACTTAACGTAAGTTGAGCCCGCTGTTTATTTACAAAAAAAATAGAATTATACCATTTGTTTCATATGTTGTTATTTAAGATGAATTAAACTGGAATTCGTAAAATGCTTACGAATTCCAGTTTAATTTCATTCATATAAGAGTAATATAGAATTTAATCCATATCGAATAGGCTCAGATCAAAAGAATTCCATTCATGAGGGAGCTCACCGTCTACCTATAAGATGTGTATGAACTACCCCTATGTTTAAATAATTAGCTTAAGCGCTTAAAGGGTAGAACTTGCTTACATTGCATTTAAAATTTCAATGTTTAGATTGGAACCAGTATAATTTGAATTTAGATTAGCAGGGGTTAACTGGTTCTTTGATGATGCGACATGTGTTCAAACTAAATCTAATGAATATTGCGTTCTAAAGTAATAGAAATCATTATTTATTCGATTCAACCATACAAGTACAGTATTAACAACAAACTATTTGTAGGTAAAAATTGGCTTTTTTCGTCTGAGAGGTTGCCTAGTTTTAAAGTAAAAATTGTAAAGTAACAAATATATTTTAATATAAACAAAAGATTCCTGTGCCCTTTTTCTTTTTCATATTATGTCCTTTTTTATTATTGTTCCTTTCACTGTCTACATATGTTTTAATTGCTTCGCTTTGTACCATTACTTTTGTGTAAGTAATTTTGCACTTCTTGTGCTCACCATATCTAATTTTATTTAAAAAAAATCACACGTTGTCAGACCAACGGGTAGATCATCGCATAGTTCTAGAGACAACTGTAAACTTTAGCATATGGCGCTACAACTTTTTTTAAGGTCTGGGCCTCAGATTTCTGTATCTGTTTCACGATCATTGGTCAATCTTATAGGCAAAGCAAGTGAGGCCGGTTTCTTTGGGATGTTTACCTTCACCGTTCAAGCAAATGTTAAAAATATTAATCACAGTTATTTAGTTAATATAAGTAAAAATTGCAAGTAAACTGTATTTTATTTTAAATGAAATAATGTACATGATAGTTTAAAATAGGATTGGCCGAAATCGTCGTTGGTAGTCCATTTTACAAAGCTTCTTACCTGCTTTTAATCCTTTCTTTAATTCGAACATTCACACAAGATAAAGGCAGCTTTTTTGATCTGTCACCTAACTGTCAGATTGACAAAGCCGCTTAACAGCTGATTAAAATAAGACATGTACTGTGGCACTTTTTGACACCATTGTGTGATTTAAAATAGCGTAGAATTATAACATTACAATAAAGGGTTAGCTATTGTACAGTTCTTTGTAATCAAAGCGGAAATGATTTGACGTTGACAGTTTAGGTGGCTCTAACAATATTGATTTTACATAAAAACAGTTAGTATTGATAACTAAATTTTTGTCTCCTTTCACCATAGGTTAAACACAATTTCATAAAAAGTGATAAATGAAACACAATACGCCATTTAATCTGTTATCACACGTGTAATAAGAATATGAATAATGAATATGCCAAAAGTATAATTATATATAATACAATAGGTATGTATATATCACTTTAAAAAATATAAAAACAACCAATTTATTATTTTATTAATAATATTAATCCATATTAATAAAAAAATACTAATGGATGTGATAAGGTGATGTTAATTATTTCGACTATGTGTTTGCGTGTTGTTCCCACGAGAATGTAAGTGCGTGCTCCTATTTCACCATGCCTCCTGCTGATAGAGGACAAGTCTTTGTTTTTAATTTATGTTATTATTATTAATTACTTAAGATGTCAAGTGCAACATGGTGTAATGGTTGCAGCTCCTTACAATTCCCGCCCTTGATTTGTGAACTGGCAGTAAATGTAAAATTAGAAGCATTAATATGTATTTCTTTAATGACGAATCACAAGTGTACATTGTGTTACCTACGTGAATAAATGATTTTTGAATTTGAATTTGAATTTGATAAATCTTTGAACTGCGTACACGCAATTTAAAACGCCTTATATTAATTCACGGCAATGTATGTCATAGGCATTTGCTTTAATTTAATAGGCGTTATGAGAACAAATATTATGAATGCCAGCTTCAGTATAGGTTAATATATAAATTCATGAAGTGATATTTTATAAAATTTAAACGAAATTATTTTCTATAAACGTAATCCGACACACTCAGTGCTATATCTCGTTCTAAGACATAACCATGCAATGTTTTTCTTTTCCATAACTGTCGATAATAAGACGAAGTTAAAATACACGATCTCATAATCTTAGTCGTACCTCTCTCCTGTATTCAAAGAAAAACAAATATAAATTCCCGACTTTGCTAAGATTATATGAACATATTAATCTTATAACATTGTAAGGAAGGATTTCTACATACAATGTAAAATTTTCTACAAACATGAGCCCTCATCTGTGAATAGTTTATGCAGAATCCCAAATCCGCAGCATCGTGGCGTGATGCATTAACCTCCGTCAGTGGGCTTAGCACAACTATTGTAGTGACCATAATTTCATAACTTTTGAGATAATTTCAAATCTAGATGAGAATGTAAACGGAGCGAGAAGCAAGGTAGCGTTCGATTGGGACTGTCAGAAGGACGTTATACCATAAAGCATCATGTCAACGGGTATTGAACCAGAGATACTGTTTACCAAAGACAATCAAGTCGTGTGGGCACGTGTTATGCTTCTGTTTGAGCTGAACGCGATGGAAATAACAAAATACTCATAATAGACTTTTGTAATTATTTTTGCATTAACTTACTTATAAGTACACATATGTAATTTAAATAAATAGGTAATAAAACTCTTAATTAATAACATCTTGTCTTGAAATATACAATTAACATTTTTTTTTAGCAACGAAGTGTAAATAAATAAATATAACTTTTAGTAACTAACAAAGGTTTTTAAAGCGACTTGAAAGCAATAATAGAAAATATAAATAAAATAAATCAGTGGCGCCACAACCTTTAGATATTTTAATGTTTCATGATCATTTTTAAATCTAATAGGCAATCTAATAGGTGATCTGGTAGTTTTGCGAACGGATGGCGTAGTCTTGCTCTTTCGTGAATTTTGTAAACGTTGTTGACATTCATAAGCATGCTCTAAGAAGCATCTAAATTGAATAAACGTATTTTGATTTTGATTTTGATTTTGATCAGCCTCTAGTGCCTGACTTTTTGGGTCAAAGACATGACGGTTTCCTCACGATGTTTTCCTTCACCGTTCGAGCAAATGTTAAATGCGCAAATAGAAAGAATGTCCATTGGTGCACAGCCGGGGATCGTACTTACGACCTCAGGTATGAGAGTCGCACGCTGAAGCCACTAGGCCAACACTACATTTGAAAGCAGTAATAATTATTCGTAAAGGATTGAGTCCTACAAAAAACATTAATTATGGTTGACGTAGAACATCTCCCTCCGGCATGTCTACTATCCGACCGAGGATAAAACGGGGATTTTTACGAAAACCTTTCCTAAGCCAACACTAAATGTTCAAAATTTAAATTAAAAATTTCGTAAAAAAGATCAGGACTTGTTTTATCTAAAATGTACATTAAGCTTACCCTCCTCATGTACGGATTAATTTAACAAAACGCCTTTACAATGTATTTAAAAATCTTATACAAATTAATTTAGAGTAACATTTTTTTTAGATACTAGAAGGACCTTTTTTTTTATTTATATACATATTTTTTTTTTTTTTTTTTTTTTTAAATCTTAAACATTGCTAAATGAAAGAATTATTCCCGTATGATCCCCAATTGCTTCTTCCCTCAGCGAGCCTGTCTCTTGCCTTAGTTTTGCCAATCAGTGTAAGCAAGAAAATACACAACGTATCAGAGATATCATATAACCAGCGTCGTCATAATTCCTTGGATCCAGCTCATCTTCTTTAATAGCCCAAGCCTCACAGAATAGAGGTCTACTGTCCAGAAGTAGTAAATTAAAATACAAATATTATTATTATTATTACAAATCATTTAACAGTGTAATTTTATTTCTATTAGTGTAAATGAATGTTCAATTCCACGCCTGCTTTAATAATGTAAATGCAACAATAACATGTCGTTGAAACACTTCACCCAATTACAAACACATTAGCGAGCAAGTCTTCGTGTATTCTAATTTAGCTTTACGACTCATAAAAGAAATAAAATGAAAATAATATGCCACGACATGAACTGCAATTACAGTAAGTAGTAGGGAATTGGAGCAAACGAAATTACGAAATTGCTCTTAATTTAGACGATGTTCTAATTACGCTCCAACAATTAAACACTGTGCAAGCTAAACGACACCGAAACACGCTTAATAAATAGTTTCATGGATTTTGATCAGTACTTGCTCTTGTATTTATTCCAGTATTTCTTCCCTTTCTTTTCTCGAAGCTTTTTGACGAATTTTTCTACTGGGTCTAAGCTTTTGGCTTCGATTACAGGAGTAGGGAGTCGTGTATTGGCCAATAGAGTTTGTAAGGCTTGAAATAGGAATGACAGTAATGACATGGAAAGCACGATATTTAATGGATCGAAGCCAATTGAGTGATGGTGGTAAGTTGCACCTCCATAAGCAGTTCCACTTATACCGTATCCAGTAGTAGTGAAATGGCTGGTAAAGCTTCTTGATTTTTCAGTTGTGTCTTTCAATCCCGTATCTGTGGGTTCAATCTGAAACTTTGGCCCGAAATCTCTCCCTTGTAGAGTCAGTTTAGAGTTTTTGGGTTTTTTATTCAATACAGAAATTTGATTTAAGCTTCTCAATTCCTGCAATACTCTTTGCGCATTCGCCTGTATTTTATTAAGTAGATCGTTAATCTTTTGGCTCTGTTCCTTTACGACGTTCGTTATTAATTCCTTGATTCCAGTTTTTGGTGTATTAGTTTCCTTCGATTGCGCGTTCACAATTAAAATGGTGACGACGATAGCAATTGATAGCAGCGTCATTGCTACAAATGCTTTGCTTTTTACAACCATGAACACGTCTGCAGCTACAATGTTTATGACTTCTTGTTCTTACATTGTGCTTATAAAGGCTATTGATTTTGGTTCGCTGAATATAATAATGGCTTATCACTCTAAAGATGGCATATATCTCATTACCTTGACATTCGACCTACCTGATCATGGGCCATTTTACTATTGTTTGGAGAAAGAATGGGACATGTCACGGTGATTAAATGAAATAATGTATGAATGAATAATGATTTCACTGTTTTTAATTGGTTTTATAGGAAGGTGCGCACCTTGAATAAAAATAATGTGTGTCTTGAATAAAAATAATAATCGTTTCTTCAATTTGACTATACTTTTTAGTTCTAATCTTCCCTAGATTGAAACGTTGTCATTTTACATTGAGTTTGATCTTACTTGTTTAGAAAAACTGCCGTCCAAATGTTAGCTTGATTAGTTTCTAGTTTTATAAATTTACTGTTATATTATTATTTAAGCAATCTTCGCATGCTAACCTAGCGACAATGCCAGGGATCTTGAATTGAATTCTCGTCTCTCAACAAGGTTGACCCTACACAAAATCACCAAATCCTGTTCACCGCCCTCATTAGGAAATTAAAGAGACTTCAAGCAAGAGCAATATATATATACTCTTTGATCAACCATAACTAATCCAAAGAAGCTAAAAAAGAAGTCCCACAAAAAATACTCGTGTTTTATGATGCTAAGAACAAAAGTCTGTTGTACGGTTTAAATTAAGCGAAAAATATAATTGAAATGTAATTGAACAATTCGTTATATACAGAGTAATCAAATATACTATTTATATTTAGTATCTATTAATTAAGATTAATACCAATTTATAATTTAATTAAGTTTATTGTTCAATCAGGTATGGTTTAGAACTTAGCTGCGCAGAGACATTGGAGTCAGTGACATCTATTGACTAGACAGTGAAACTTTATGACTTCCTGCTTTTGATTACGTATTGCATTGCAATTCTTTATAAGCTCAAAGGTTTACTATTTCATCGACATAATATAGTAATTATGCAAATGTGCGCAGTGACCATATTTATAATATAATACATTATATCCGATATTTAGAGACATTTTCTTTTAATAACTTAAAAAATAAGCATCATACCGATGACGATATAGCCGTAGTTTTTAAAGCTTTATAGTTGTATCAATAGAGGGCGCTTTGACAAATGTGCGCAGTGACATAATACTAGTCAGATTTTTCATTTAGTTTCATAGTAAAGTTCAAGATGGCAGGTATTTTAAAAACGATATTTTTTGATTCCAAAACTTATTTTTATAAAAACACAGTACAGCAGTAGGTAAATGCCATTTAATATTTTGGAATGGGTAAAATATTTGTAAGTCTTCTACTTCTATTCTGGTCCACGTCAAGTACAGGTGTCAGGCACGGCAAAGAATATATGTGCATGCCACGACTAGTTGGCAGACCCCTATATTCAGTGGCGTAACAATAGGGTGGCAGGGCTGGCAAAATGCCACGGGCCCCCGACCCAAGAGGGCCCAAGAGATATTATGTTCTATGGATGAATGTGAAGTCTTCAATACGCATTAGGGTAGCGTTGGGACTACAGACCATTCCCTCCTAAGAGAGGAGGCCTATGGCCATTAGTGGGACATATACAACGTGTATTTGAGTACTCTGAAAATCTCAAAGTTTTTTAAAATTAAACTGAGTACAACGTGACGATTTTTACTGATAGGGCCCCATCAAAAGAATTTACCACGGGCCCCAGATGGTATAGTTACGCCACTGCCTTTATTCAATTAAATCCGTGGCATTAATATAAATCTATTTCTCAATTTTAGCTTACTACTAACAACGATATACTTTGTAAGATAATTACTAAATGGATAAATAAATAAGTTTGATAACACGTATTCAGAGCGTTGTTATCCTTGTAAGGTTCCGTAATATTATCAAAAGCCTGACGCAAGCACTCCAGTTAAACTCAATAGAGCCTCCCACAGACTATCCTGTCACTAATTAATAATCATGGTAATGGATGTGGAGAGCTTTCCAACTTCACTTAGGTATACCTAAGGGTCCTAGATATAAAACCAATATCAAACTAATTTAAACCATAACACATTTGTTCATGTGCTTAATAATAAAAATAGTTGTTTTTGCTTTGATAAAAAGTGGTTTTTGTGTTGGGAGCTTATAAGCTAAATAATTATGTTACACAGAAGGATAAAGACGCAAGGTTTGATACCCTCTTCGTTCCTTGCATTAATAAAATTAGTTTGATGTAAATTATTACTTAATACATGTATTTGTATATTAAAAAACACTCAACCAACATTACATACTATTATCATTTACCTACGGGTATAATATCTTAGAAACTGTGTAACACACAACAATGATAATCCTCCGTAAATTTCTAGGCGCAGGCTTGTCTGCTCCATGTGTTTGATGTTACTTACTTAAACGAGGTTGTCTATATGTATATATAATTTAAAAAAAAAAGATGTTACCATGTGTTGGGTGTAGGTTTAATATACAGGAGTGGCTAGCACTAAGTCTCGACTTGAATCTCCCTTGAACATACGACTTTTTTAAACTTAGCTTGACCCTCCTTGATCTATGTTTTATACGTTCTATCTTGATGCATAATTACAAAAGGGCGGAAGTGAGTGGTCGACAAATGACCAATATGAATTAACTTTTGTCTGTAACAAAGGGGTTAATTGGCTAGTGGAACTAAAAAACTATGGAGATGCGTATATATTTATGACTTTTTTCCTAAGAATAATATAACGGATCCACAGAATTATACGCAATTCATTATTTACTTGATTATTAAATTTAATACAGTCGTAGAAGCGATAACGAAAATATTTGTATTAAATGCGAAAAAATTAAATTATTAAAAAAAGGACAGTTGATATGAAAATGGATGTTTTACTCCTAAACCTAGTTCAACATTTAATTCTTGTTCTAACATAAGAATGAATTAAAAATGGTTGATTTTATCAGTCGAATTAATCAATGGGCGGGGACTAGTAACTTACCTATGTGTTTAACAAAATCCATAAACACATTCTTTCAAAACATATCGTTAACACCATAAGCATAGAGCTCAATTTAATATAAATTCTAACTATTGCATTATAACAAGCCTTCGTAAGATTTATTAGGAGTTTCTGACGCGGTAATTCTAAATTAAGTTGTTAGAATATTTAAAACCCCGTGATAGTTTGATTAATGATTTAGGGGATTATAAAACTGCCTAATTATTGATGTATGTGTAATTAGAATAAGGACATTGACCTGTATTAGAATTGAGAATCCATGAGATTTTATTTTCGAAAAATGATATGTTATTATTATGAGATTGGCGTCGGCTAGGCCTAGAATGAGGATAGGTTTCAAAAAGTTTATTCTCAATAAAAACAATATACATCTCACTTACATGAGAAACAAATATTAATAATATTATTATTTTTTAAGGAAATAGCAAAAAGGTCAGTCGACATCACAGGAGACCGAAGAGCTGGCGGCTACCTCGGACAAAGATTTAGTCTAGCTATTCAAAGGGGGAACGCTGCCAGTATCTTCGGAACCTTGCCAAAAGGGACTCCTTTTAATAATATATTTTAGTTATTATATTTTAAGGTTAGTTATTGTTTTTTGTTATCAATTTGTAATGTTACCTTGTAATATTATTTAGAATGTTTGTATAATATTAAAATAAAAAGTAAAATATATCACGAGATCGTCGTACGCTGTTACTGCTTTAGAGTCCATCGAAATTAGTGTTGCCCAAAATCGGTCTTGGTCTTGCAGTCTTGGTCTTGTTCTTGCATTTTCGCAAGACCAAGACCAATACCAAGACCGCCTTATTTTAGCAATACCAAGACCAAGACTGCAAGACTTGAGCAAGACAATACTTAAGCCTGCAAGACTCTTGCGTCTTGCAGTTAAGACAAACTGAGATTTGGGCGTTATTAAGTAGGTATTTGGTTTCATTCCCGATTTTGAGAGACGTTCCCCAGTATCAAAACCGTTGGTATCGTCATAACACTAAACGTGCCGCTCGTCTGAAAGAACCCTGAAAGGTATTGTATTGATTAGGTAGGTAAGTACTTATTATATTTCAACAATTTATTAAGTAGGTAGCGTGTTAATACTCACAAATCTGTTACCATCATCCCATGTGATAAAATTTACCCAGAATAACTTTCTACCTTGTAGGTATCAACTTACCTATAATAATGTATTATGCTTGTTTATGTCTAATGTGCAGATCTAACGTTAGAACTCGTAGGTTGGTATGTGCTTAAAATTATAGCCAACAAAATTATATAAACATTATGTAAGTACCTACTTATGTTTCAAAGTTTATATTATTCTTCTATTTAGCCAAATTTAAAACTAACTGCGAGTCGAGTAGGTCTAGTAACAGTTTCTACGGCAGCCAATATTATGGTACAGACGCCAGCACATCAAGGTACTACAATCGGTCAAATTTCTTTAACAGATTTTCAACTTTATCGCTAAAGAATTAAGGTTCAAGGTTGATTGGGAAAATGTGACGTTCTGCGAATAAACTGTTGGTCGGTCGGTGTATTATATACCTACTTATTTGATAATTTACCGACAAAGAGGCCGCGGTTTGCAACGAGTGTATCACAGCATTTGACACTGTTTGAGCGCCGCATTCGCCGACAAAGAGTCCGGACAGAGGCACACAAAATTGTTACCTACGTATATTTTGGTAGAGTTGGTACAGGAGGATAAAATTAAATGACCTTGAAGATGTCTCAGCAGTAGGTAGGTATAAATTGAAACACTACAGCGTTTAAAGCTGTCGGGCGAGATGATAATTAATAACTAAGTAGGTATTGCATCTATTGAATTGAATTGTTAATATCGGTAAATGATAGATAGTGAGTGATATACCTAGGTACTAAAATGTGAGCAGCATAATTGAAAAGTGTTTATGCCATGTCAGTGCTTTCCATAAGTTTATTTTA